CTGTAAGTAAGATCATATCATGCTATATTCATAGGTTGAAATTATGGCAATTAAGAGATATTATTTGAAATAAAACTTTATTTTATGATTCATCAACATAGATGGTTTTAAACACTCTATAGAAAATTTTGTTGGGAAATTACAAACTTGGAACGTCCCCTAGGAATTTATGAAAAACTTCATATTTGTTTTTTTTAACTCACCTGTCCACGGGGACAGGCATTTTTCACCTTTACCTGTTCCAGTTTAGAATCTACCTGTCTAGGACAGAAGGATAGGCCTTGATTTTGACCCCTGTATATTTGATCATTATGAATGTGCAGTATACTAGTATTTAAGTTTGTATCTTTCAACAGTCAAATCTAGGTGAGTAAAATGCACTGTTTTTGTGACAGCTTTCTAAAATTGTGTTTACAATTTTTATCAAGGAATGCATGAGCTAAAGAAACTGCAACCCAAAGTACTGCCAAGTGCGAAACCTAAGCCATATGATCCTATTGCCCCGGTTGCTTATGATATCGGCAAGGAGTCCTGGCTTATATGTTTTGATGAATTCCAGGTAAGTCTACAGTTGTTATACAGTACTGAAAATCTTTCTAATTTGCGCCCTCTAGTGATAAAGTACTTGACATGAAAATGACATGTGCATAAGCAAATGTTGTGTTACATACATATAGACATGTCATATATGTCTTGACATTTTGTCATTAAGATTAAGATTGCTCTGGATGCTATAAGATTAGATTAACTGATTACCTACTTTGCTTTAAAATGTTGTTTATTACCGTTAGGCCCGACATATTTATACATAGAAATACAGTAATGTGAATATGTCTAGACTAGACAATATTCTACAGGTACTTAACATTATTTTTAAGCAAAGGTATGGTAATCGTTGATCCTAGAACACCCAGAGTATTCTCTGGTTTTTACTGTAAAATATCAAAATTTTGATATTGATAGACAACAACAGAACAAAACAGTGTAGACACTGAATGACATTCTTTGTCATATATGTAGACAGGTTAACATATGTCATATATGTAGACACGTTAACATATGTCATATATGTAGACACGTTAACATATGTCATATATGTAGACACGTTAACATATGTCATATATGTAGACACGTTAACATATGTCATTTATGTAGACACGTTAACATATGTCATATATGTAGACACGTTAACATATGTCATATATGTAGGCATGTTAACATATGTCATATATGTAGACACGTTAACATATGTCATATATGTGATGTTGTGTAGCTCATTTTAGACAATCAGATTTGCCGCTACTGTAAACATGTGGGTAATGTTTTGAAACATGCTCAAAATGTGGGTTGTAAAACAAAAAAAATACACGATTCAGGTACAACTATTTGTAGATTTCTGTATGCCAAGAATTTCCTACTGGAAACTTGTTTACTCTTGGTTACTGTTTCTATGAGTACGATTAATATGTAATCTCCCAATATTCTGAAAGAGTGTTACGTCATCTTGGACATCCTGTATATCTGTATCCTTCTTGAGGAGTCCCTTGTTCGCTATGACATTCTACTTTATATAAGTATATAAGGGGATTATATAAAATTAGACCCACAGAAATGCTTTGTTGCTAGGGGGTATAGCTTGACAAAGTGCCCATGTCTTAAAAAAATCTTTTGACAATCGTGATTGTATTTTTAGCTCCGCTGTCGACAAAGTTGACACAGCGGAGCTGTTCATATTGTCCGTCGTCGTCTGTTTCAACTTCTTCTTCGAAACCGTAAGTCAGAATTTTTTCAAATTTGATATGCAAGTACCTTGGATGATTCTTTCTCAGATTTGTTCATTTCATCTCAAAATCTCAAATTCTCTATTTTTGGTGAATATTTTTGGTGAAAAATTATATTTTTGACTTCTTGTAAAAAAAAAATTTAATTCCAATTACTTTGATATTACATATATAAGTATTATATGTGGACCTCTCTCAGATTTGTTCATAACGAGATGATACCTTTAATTCTCAGATTTTTGGTAAAAAGTGATATTTTCGACTTCTTGTAAAAAACAGCAAGTCTGATTGCTTTGATACTATACATATTGTTCATTTTCTAATGATATCTTCTGTTCTTTAATTGAAATGTGTATGCTAACAGCAA